TTATTTTATTTCTATTATATGTCAGGTGCCACATACACCGTTTTTATCAATTATTATTATTTTATATCATATCGCACATGTGTCACATACACCGGTATTATCATTTTATTGTATGAAGTTGACCACATTGAATCGTTCATTAATTAAAAAGCGTATTATTTTATTTCTATTATATGTCAGGTGCCACATACACCGTTTTTATCAATTATTATTATTTTATATCATATCGCACATGTGTCACATACACCGGTATTATCATTTTATTGTATGAAGTTGACCACATTGAATCGTTCATTAATTGAAAAGCGTATGAAGTATTAAAATTTTATAAGTTGGTATTGAGCTAACTTCATGGTAAAAAGAAATAGGGGAGACGAAAAGATTTTGATATCGGACCATCTAGTGACTTCTGAAAAATATCTCTGCATTAAGGACATCTTTTTAAAAAAGACTTCTTACACATTGTAAAGTAGTCTAAAAAAAGTGTATTGTGACATTAAAGCATTAAGAAAGTACAGAGGAAACAATTAATATTCACGAAAGAAATTCAAAATGTCGAATTTACGTGTAAAAATAAGGTACGCGGTGCCCGACGGCAATGCTGCCCCCTGACGGGCCTCAAACTTGCCTTCGGGCCGCTACCGCGCCCCTTGATTTTCTTGGTTTTCTTTAAATTTACAAAATGCACCAAAATTATCGTGTTTATCAAAAGCATGATCAGTAATATTTCTCAAACCAGATTCAATTTTTGGGATGCTTCCCTTATTTTTTTCACAACGTTTGAAAAGTAGTCCTTTAAGTATATTATGGCATCGTGAGTCAACTCTCCATCAGGATCCATGGCTTTATTACCTTTCATTTCATAAAGAGCCTTTCCAACTCCTTTCTTAGAGTGATTCATATCGCATTGTTTAATAATTCTATGATCACTTGCTACTTGAATCTCTGCTAAGCTTGAGCTGCCGTTGTCTCCAACAAACACTCCGATTTATACGTTGGCCTCTTTCAAAATGTTGCTTTTTGTACATAATTGAACAGCACCGTCTGCCTTCATGGCCTTAGCACTGCCATAAAAATTTAAGCGACAATCATGAGGTACTCTTTTTTGTAATTTTGTTTGCATATTATACATGGCACATTTACAATTTCTTGTGCAGTAATTGAGAACTTTCCCGGTTTTTAATCCTATGATTACGCAAAACCCATTCAAACTGTCATACTTATATCCATTCGATCGTTGACTCCATGCCATATCATATGATACGAAAATTCTAACGATTTGTTTTTCTGAATCTTCCTCAGCAGATTCTACGTTTACCACTAAAAACCCTTCTTTTAAATCTTCAGGTCTATAAAGTGAGGAAAAATAAATAAATTGGGTATTTATTTTTTACATTATTGAAAACATTTCAAAAATAATGTTCGAACGATATTTTATTTCTGTAATTTCTACAAAAATGAGAATAAAAATCTGGTTACATCATTTCTTACATATAAATCAATAAGAAAAAAAGTCAATTTGTAAATATAATAATTTGATCAAAATACATGTATCACTAAATAAAAAAATTGATAAATGATATCACGGTTTGTCAGCTTAAAAACTATTTAAATGCGCAATTAGATGTACATAACGTACAGCATTTTCTTCAACTCTTCAATATTTTCTATTGTGGCTATTTTTTCTAAAATTACTGCTTCTGCACAAGTCTTTTTGGCGACATCTTCTATGACCGGCCCAACAACCCTTTCATGAATCTTGAATGTATTTGGACTCATCCCTGGAATATCCATCGTTTGGAACAATTTATTTAGCTTTGATGCTCCACATCCAGCATGTAAAGCAGCTGTAAATAATGTTATCTAGAAATCATTATACTCCACTTCTAAAAACATTAATGATTTGATTAAGTTTACTCATGATTTATACAAATCATGAATATTTAGCAAATTAGATTATGTTAGTAAAATAAAATAAATACACTTACCTATAGCAGCTTTTGTGTTAATATCAAACAAGGGATATCCTGTAACGGGACTAATGTGTCGATCTCCAGTTGTAACTGTATTGAGGAATATACAATTGTCGCAGAAAATATGCAAAATTGATGCGAGACCTTTTTTAATCTCACTTCTGATATTTTGAATTAATAACGGAGATTTACAACATGAGCAAAACATATTTTGAGCCATATGCTGAAAATCTACGATTCGGTGGCCTTCTATAGGAAATGTTTTTTCTTCGCGCGGTTCATCATCATTCACAACAATTTGTTTCTTATTTTTTCTTCCCATTTCAGCAATTTGTTCAAGACGTTTTATCTTTTTTTTGCTCGAAAATTTTCCGTTTATTCGTAATTGTGACATTTTGAGGTACGGATTCACATTAAGCAATTTCAATTTGAAAATCCCAGTTGCCAACTGTCAAACACTAATTTATCTTACGTCGCGCTGTTGCCAAGTTTCTTTAAGATCTATACATACCTTCAATGTGAATATTATTAAAAATTTCTTAATAAAAGAAATTATATTTAATCAAAGAATAAATTTTAAATATTTTACTATTCACGTATGTTATCTATTTATGTTTTTAATGCTTTTGAATAGTTGATATATTAAATATATGATGTTGGCATTACTCGATCTTTACAATGTATAAGAATAGGAGATCCCCCGCACCGCTTACCCGTCTAAGACCCTAACAAACGCTCGAGACAACGGAACAAGCAGTGCCAAAATACTAACTGAACTGAAAACATAAGCTCGCAGTGCTCAACCTCGCTACCATCTCTCCCTCTATCTTCCTGCCACCTACCTATATTCTACTATGTAACGGGTGATACGGCCGAGCCACTGATAGGTGCCAAAGTGGTGCTGACCACTCGTCCGCGTACTTAAACTAAGGGAGGGGTACTGGTAAATGAACTAGGCGAATATATCTATAATACTATTTATTCTTCGACGATGTCGATGAGGATGACGCTTCGCTCAGCGGTCCACAAATAAGGAACGAGATTAGATCTAATCGGTTTATATACAGTGAGAACGCGGCTTATACTCTAGTTATACTACCGCTATGCGAAAGTAAAGACGGGGTCACGCTAACGACTCTGGCTTTATTCGAGAACTTAGACTAATGCTTACTCTACTACGCGGCGCGGGATCCAGCCACTGCTGGATTTACTCGGCCGAACGATATGTGCCCGTGCATCGGGCCAAGAAGCGATTGGGCAACGTTATCCGAATGATATGACCGTGCTTCGAGCACCCGTGAAGGCTTACCGGAATGGTAGCTGGGTGGCGCGAGGTGCTCTTGTCACGTCAATTAGTGACAAGAGCCGAGGTACCTGTGTTCGTGGAAGGCACGGCTTCGGCAACTTGAGGTCAGGGTGCTCGTAATTTTTCACAGGGCCGGAAAGTGGGGACGACGCGACCATGGTGGGGTCTGGTACTTGATGGGGGTATGCTAGGCATGGTCAGTGAAGGCGCATGAGGGGAATAGTAGTGGGGCTCGAAATACGGGCAAAAAAGAGGGGAAGCGAGCCGCCTGTGAAAAATTACGAGCACCCTGCTTGAGGTTCCTTCCCCCGAACAGAGGTTTGGCAAAAATCGCTTTCTTACAACTTGCACGGTTTGGCCTCTTTTGTCCCTATCCCGTGGCATGCTTTCATCCGCACGGGGACCTGGTTACTTACTATTGCTCCGGCTTATTCCGTCTGCATGTAACCCAAAGGTGGTTGATAACGGCTCGCGGGCCGCTTATCATGCCGCTCGCGCGGTTAATTAGCCCGAGAAAGCCGTCCCGGCCGACGCCGCCTAGCGGTGGCGCTCGGTAGCTTGCCGCGCTGGGCCAGTTGCGGGTTCCCCGGGAGTCGCACGCGGGGACGGAGACAATATGCTCCGTCACAAGTATATTCAAATTGCCATTTCAACAATTCCCTATAATCGTTTAATTCGATGGTTCCTCGAAAAGACGCGTGTTTTTTAAAATATTCATTAGAATTCCACTTTCCGGGTAAATTCTCTTATTGCGTCCGTTGAAATACATTTTCTTCAAGTGTTCTCAAGCGGAATTCATGCCCGTTTCATACCTTTGTGCGATATAAGCTCACTTATAATCGTTTAAATCGAAGGTTTCTCCAAAGTACACGTATTTACCCAAATATCCTTTAGAATTCAACTTTCCGGGTAGATTTTCGTGTTGTTTCCGTTGAAATACATCTTCAAGTGTATTGAAAAGGAAATCATGTATATTTCATACATTTGTGTAATGCAAGTCGACCTATAGGGTGTCCCAGAACTAATACTACCCCCGAAAATGAGAAGGAGCAGAGGTGATTTTAAACAACTTTTTCCTTTGTGAAAAAGTGGCGTGGTTGTCGAGTTATTAACAAAAATCTCCGACCAATCAGAGCGTGTGAAGATTCCAGCCTTTCATACAGTATGCCTATTTATTCCATTACGATACCACGATTAAAACAGTGCACCGTACTGAAACGAGCAATGTTAAAGAATTTTCAAACAATTAAAAATGCTGTTTAAATAATGACCCCTGCTCAATAAATAGTAAATATGAGAAAAAAAATATATGTCTGTTACAAAAAGTATGTTCGGTGACAGGACGCGAAACTACATCAAAAAAGTGCACAGCGATTACTGGCCTGGAATCTTCACCACTTCGCCGCCGCCGCCGTTAGAAATATGTCTTTTTTAGCTGGACATGTCTGAAAATTTTCTCGGATTCTTCGCAAGGCGTTAAATAAGGAAAAACTTCAAAAAACTGATTTTTCGAATTTTCCAGAGTTCAAGCATTGTACATCACCACAGCTGTGGCCTTTTCTGTACATTATCCAAAAACTGAGATAAATATATAAGTTATATAATATATAAATATATAAATATATAAGTTATTATTACTTCGTTCCCGTCTTTATTATATGAGAGAAGCATCTCCATAGCTCTGTCGATAACGGCTGTGGAACCGCCACATCCACTCCCCCTCCAGAATTCTGGTCAGAATTCGATTTAAATGTTACTTTTCGCTGGCTTCTTGGGGCGTTGACTTGACGATTTTCTGGAGTTGGTTCGTGTCCTTGAGGTTCGTCACCTTGAGGCTCGTCATCTTGAGGTTCGTCTACTTCGGTGTAGTGAGCTGCTTTTAGACGCTCAATTGAAATGTTCTCTTCTTTGCCTTCTACTTCGATCTTGAACAATCGATCCGACTCGATATGGTCCTCGACAGGGTAATTCGAGCGGAGCTTTCACATGATCGCTTCTGATGAACACATGAGAATACGAATCAATATCCTTCTGTTTGAATATGCGTACCTTGCTGTGGTGAGATGTAGGTGTCGGCCGAATTTCTCTCATGTAGGTTCGGTGTTGTTTGACGAAGTCTTGGGCGTTGGCAGGCATGTCCTGATGAATGAAGAATTCGCCGGGTAGTCATAGAGTGGTACCATATAACATTTCGACTGGTGAAGCGTTTAAGTCTTCCTTGTAGGCGTAAATCAAGCATGACGGATGGTAACAGGTGAATCCAAGGAACTTCTGATTTGCACATGAGTGCAGCTTTCATCGTTCTGTGCCACCGCTCGATGATCCCATTAGAAGCTGGATGATAAGGCGATGTTCGAGTCTTCTGGCTGCCGAGAAATTTGAAGCTTTGAAGAGTTCAGCTTCAAATTGGGGTCCTTGATCTGTTGTAATAGTCAACGGTGAACCGTAATGGCTTATCCAGTTATTAAAGAGTGCGGTTGCCGTAGTTTTCGTTGTGCAGTCTTTTAGGGGAACAGCTACTGGCCACCGTGAAAATCTATCTATTATGGTTAGACAGTACTTGAATCCGTCAATATCAGGTAAGTGTATGTAATCCATGTGTATGTAGTTGAATCTTGTATCAGGAATGTCGATGCCTTGAGGTTTGACGCGATTATGTCGCTGATTTTTGACTCGCTGGCAATCGAGACATTCTCTGGTCCACTTGAGGGAATCTTTTTTTATTACGGGCCATATATACCTGCTTCGTAAAGTATGTGTAGTGCAGCGTCCACTAAGATGTGACAAGCCGTGTACTGTTTCTAACGCAGCGTGTCGAAGCGTTCCTGGTATATATGGTCGTACGATTGAGTTGTTGATATCGCAATAAATCTTGTGATTCTCGATGGACAATTGTTGTAGTTTCAACGAGTTTGGATTTTTTAGCAAGTTTCGAAGCTCTTGATCGTTCCTCTGCGCTTTGCTGATGTTCTTAGCACTCAAGATCGTTGGCATGTCGATTGTGTTGATTCTTGAAAGGGCATTTGCCACAACATTTTCACATCCTTTTACATGCTTGATTGTCATGGAAAATTGCGAGATGTATTGTAGTTGTCTTTCTTGTGTTGGCGAGAATTTCTCTGTCTTTTGTTTGAACGCATATACAAGCGGTTTATATCCGCTATTATATATCAAGCGGAAAAATCCCTAGGCGTGCATTTTCCCTTGACGTACTGCTCGATGGAGGCCTCAATACAGGTGTCCGAAGCGTCAGTACGTAGAGTGAGTGGCGAATTTGGAACGGGATAAGTCGTCATTGCGATATTTGCTAGTACCTTCTTGGCATTGTCGAACGCTGAATCAGCTTCGTCGTTCCACCTGATTTTCCTCTTGTCGTTTTTTCACGAATCAGTGAGCAAAGCAGTGAGAGGTCTGAGCAATTCGGCAGCTTTTGGGATCAACTGACGCTAAAAATTCGCCATGCCTAAGAATCGTCTTAAATCCTTGATGTTTTCGGGCTTCGTGTAGTTTAC